TAATTGGTGGCACTGGTCAGCGTATCCACTGTTAGCGTAACACACCCGCTTTAAGGACACTGACTGCTATTCAATCTATAACATTGAAAAAAGAGTTGTTTTTTTTTTAAATCCAAGCTATTGTGACACCAGATGTAATTGGTGGCACTGACTGGGGAAATGGGCACAGTATGCACTGTGAGCCTGACACAGAAGCTGGCAGCAGTGGCAGACAACTGACTGCTATTCAATCTATAACAGTGAAAAAAGTTTTTTGTTTTTAAATCCAAGCTATTGTGACACCAGATGTAATGGTGGCACTGACTGGGGAAATGTGCACTGTGAGCCTGACACAGAAGCTGGCAGCAGTGGCAGACAACTGACTGCTATTCAATCTATAACAGTGAAAAAAGTTTTTTGTTTTTAAATCCAAGCTATTGTGACACCAGATGTAATTGGTGGCACTGACTGGGGAAATGGGCACAGTATGCACTGTGAGCCTGACACAGAAGCTGGCAGCAGTGGCAGACAACTGACTGCTATTCAATCTATAACAGTGAAAAAAGTTTTTTGTTTTTAAATCCAAGCTATTGTGACACCAGATGTAATTGGTGGCACTGACTGGGGAAATGGGCACTGTGAGCCTGACACAGAAGCTGGCAGCAGTGGCAGACAACTAAGTGCATTTACATTACATAGAAAAATAAATAAAAAAAAAGCATACCCTTATCCCTAACCTAGCTATGCTTTTCCCTATCTTATGAACAGCAGCTACACTTTCCCTCCTCTTACTAAGCATGCAGCTTGAGAATGAATCTAAAATGGATGCTGTCCAGTAGGTGGGAGGGTCTGCTAGGGAGGCTGTGCTGCTAATTGGCTGGAATGTGTCTGCTGACTGTGAGGTACAGGGTCAAAGTTTACTCAATGATGACGAATAGGGGGCGGGTCGAACCGCGCATATGTTCGCCCGCCGTGGCGAACGCGAACATGCTATGTTCGCCAGGAACCGTTCGCCAGCGAACCGTTCGGTACATCACTACTTATAACCACTTCTGGCAGCTTATAGAAGGACATTCCAATCATTTTCAGATATTGATACTGTTTATTTTCAACCACAGCTTGTTTATTTTTCTCAAAAAAAAATAAATAAAAATGTATATATAAGTACTAGCAATTTCACTGCTTATAACTCTCGGCACGTTTTCGCTTTTTTGCTTATATCAGTCTGTAAACAGTCTGTAGACTCAATTCATTTATTATAGCAGTTGTTTTAGCTTAATTGCCGTTATTATAGCATGTTTTAATGTTTGTTCTATTTTTTTTTCTTCCCCCTTCTTCCTTTTTTCTCTGCCTTCTTTATCCTTTCTTTTCTTTTTTTTCTGCCTTTATTTTTTTTTGGTTTAATTAGGCTTATATATCAGCCTCAACTTATCATTTACTTTGATTGCAGCTCTCAATTATCGAACAAAATATATGTATTTAAATATGTCTAAGATATGAGCAGTTTATCAAGAGGTTAGGCAGAAATTTACTTTGAGATACTCACAAGATTTGCAGCTTCCATCTCATTATTATAAAGAAGTCCTCCTTTACTTTTTATCTGTCTTTGTCTGGCTTTTCAGTATGCCAGCAGCTCATAGGGATATTTCGAAAACAAAATTTTTTCCCGTTTATATTTCCGTTTTTCTCTTTCATCGATTTTTTTTTTCCGCGCTTTGATTTATTGAGCGGAATGTAACTTAAGTGCAGCTCAACCAGAGCTTGAATGCTTAGTATTCTCCTTCTCAGCTTCTGTCACAGCAGCGTTTTCTCCCAGCCGTCAAACAGCCGCCAAACAGCCGCCAAACATATTCGGCGTGGCTACCTTCCTCCACGCCTCTCTGCCCGCTCACCGTTCCTCCGGACACTCCCACCTCTCGCACGCGTTACGTCATCACGTTATCACGTACGTGTGTCCCAAACATTTTGAGAAATAATTATAGAAGGAGGAGAGAAAAGTTGTGAGGAAATATTGGGTGTGTAAAGTAAGGGGGGGGGAGGGGGTGAAGGAAGTTCGTCTTGCAGTTGGTCCCCCTACTCGGATTGGGGGTTTGCGCGGAGGGTCTTGGTTGAGGATGACTGTCGGCCAACCCCTACTTGGCCGTGTCCTGCGATCCCAACAGGATTTAGCTACTCCGCTATTCCACGCCTCGGAGCTCGAGCTCACTGCTCCTCAGGTGCATTGTCAATGCCCTCTTTTTCTGTATGTGTCCCATATAAGTTTTTGCTTTAGCTAGTACTGATTTAGGGCCGAATTGGTGCTGGTGCATTTTTTTGTATGTCCAATTCAGTGCAATTTGGTGTAATAAATGTGTGATTGTTGGTGTCTCCTTGGATTTCCAGTGTCTTGCTATTAATATGTGTACTGACGTGAGCGAGTGGTACACTAGGGCTTGTTGTGTCTTGTTCATCGTGTCTGGGAACATGTACAGCAGGCAGTGTTGGGTCTGCCTCTATCCGGGCACCAAGCAGGTCAAATATCATTCGGCGAGCTTGCGTCCAGAAGGGCGTGATCTTGGGACACGTCCACCATATGTTGATCATCGTACCCATTTCTTGTTCGCAGCGCCAACACATATTCGTGGAGCTGGGCCATATTTTGTGTATTTTTTCTGGCCCCCCCTCAATATTATTGATAAGCAATACATTTTTTTTTTTTTTTTCACTCAACCAAATATATTCCTCAACACTTTTGCAATTTTGCCCAATATTCTACGATTCACTCTGAGAGGGATTGTTCTACGTAAATACAAAATATTAGGGAGAATATATGCATTTATTTATTGCATTTGATACATCCAACCCATGAGATTTCTAAACCTCTGCGAGAGGAAAGATAACCTGGAAATGTTTTAAACATTTCAAAATAATCAAGATCTACCATATCAGTTGCAAAAGGGGTAATTTTTTTTTTGTTTTGACATCAGAAGTTGGTATTCCATGTGAGAGTGTCCACTCGTTGGAGAATACAATCGGACACCAAAATGTTCATTTGTTATACATTTTGATGCGTGTGATCATCTGCTAAACTATCAGGCTATTACTAGAATTTCAATCGACCTTTCATATAAGGGGATTTAAAAACAAAAATTATTTATAACTTTCACCCATTATTCATACAACCCTTCAGTAATTTATATTTTATTAGATATTTATATAACTGTAGGATTAACCAACGCACTTACTCCAAAAACTCATTCACATGGGCTACTCTCAGGGGGAGAGAAAAACGTTTATGTCGCTGTCTCCCCAGGATTCTATATTCTATAATACAGGTCAAAGTTTTTAAAGCTTGAATAGACTGCTTTCTCCATTAAGCGCTGGAAATCTACCTGAAATTTAATCTCCAATAGGGAATAGCTGTTGTATAGCAATTCACATTTTCGTAGCAATTAATATATGGATACCGATCCATCTGGAAAGGTTTATTCTGCAGAGTCATATCGTAATAAGAACCCAACAAATTCCCAATTACCGTTTCTAATTTATCTCTCAAAGAAGTTAATTTAATACAGTCCCACCATATGTGTTTAAATGAGCCAATATCCAAATTACATCTCTAACAGGTATCTGGTGTGCTATTTTGAAATTTAGCTACTATGGTGAGCACCAGATACCGTCTGTATAATATCTTGATATAGGTCCCATAAATCTATAAGTTTAGTGTACTTTTTGTAAATTTAAATTTCCTTACCCACTCTTCCTCTAGGAACTCTACCCTTATTTCCTGTTCCCAATTAATAATGTTACTTCTTTCTCTTTAGGTTTAAAGTCATATAGAATCTTTAAAATTTTTGTCATAAAAATTATTATTCCCCATCCAGCGAGAAAATGTTGTCTAAAGTACTAGCGGACACTTTTTTATTCTGCTTTTAAAGTAGGCTTCCCTTCTTATGAAAAAAGAATTTAATAAAATGAACACCTGCCTCTTTCCGTTTAAGAAGGTTTATATCAGATATATGTCCTAATAAAGTATCTATTGGGGTTATGTTTGAGAAATCTTTTTTTTTTTTTTTTTTGCAGTGCAAAAGAGATAACAACATGCATGGGGTACCCCGAAGGCATTCCACATGCTATTACGGAACATTTTCAACATTCAGGAGTACGTTGATACTTGCACATTTTTATAATTAGTCTGCATTTAAACTAGCTTAGCCACACTTTAGCATTGGTAAGTATAAAACGAAGTTATGTAGATCAGGCAAAATAGAGAGTATAACGCTATACATAAGACTGCATGGGTATTAAAGTGGGTTAGGGTTAGTTACGTGGGTAGGTGCGGTTGTGTCTCTGCGTGTCCAGCAAATTAAGTCCTGTACGGAAGACAGACAGAGTGTGGGGGCTGGAATGGCCGCTGATCTCAGCCGCTGCCTCTGGTATGTCTCTCTGGGTAGATTGTGCTGTGGCACGGCACGGCATCTCCCCGGTTGGTGTACCTCCGTATGCTCGGACCATGAGGGTCTGGGTCTGTGCTGATGCGGTGTACAACATGGCCCCCTTCTCTATTATGCACCGGGAAAACTGTGTCATAGCTGCTTGTCCGTCAGTCGAGAAGTCATTTTTTTATACCAAATCTTTTTTTTTTTTTTAAATTGGTCATAATCTTAAATAAGTCAAAAACTATTTTATTTAGAATCCTCAGATTTTTAAAAGCGAAAGTATCGAGCCAAATCATCAAAAGTGGTTCTATATTCAAAAAGGATTGTTTTTCGATCCCCATCCATGTAGCTTGATCAAATTTTTTGTATTTCCAAACTGTAACGTGTTAGCATATTAGCACTGTGTATCAGATATACACCTGGAAATTAAACCCCACCGTCCCTTAGATTATAAGAGAGATTTCTATAGGCAGTTCTAGGTGTTTTATTTCCCCTGACGATCTTCAAAAATGTTTTTTGTGGAATTCCCATAATGTATTTTTAGCCACGCTCAAAATTAAATATCCAAGTTTAGAAATCACGCAGTCTTTTATTACTGTGATTCTGTCAACCAGGAGATATACAGGGGTTTCCATTTGTTAATAGAACCTTTTGAAGTAAAAGGGAATAATAATAATAATTATTAATACTTAATATTAGCTAGAAGCACAGGGGCAAGGACCTTTAATCACTCTGGGCTACAAACACAAGGTAAAGGGCTGTGACAACCCAACTACATGTGGGTATACCACCACAGGTTTTTTTTATTCTTAATGCCCAAGGGGATGACTATGCGCCTTTCAGGTCATTTTGATTGATATTTTATTGGAACTGCAATGTTTACATTGCTTGGCAAAATCCAACTGGCTGCTAACCACTAGAGGTGCTTATGCTGCTTTAAAGGCAAAACAGGAAGTGAAAGATATGGTTTAGCAATAAATTTTTCAGCTGTGAAGTCACAACCGTGAGAATCAATTACTTGGGATATTCCTTCATCCAAATGGGGAGGTAAAACATATTCCAGAAAGCCTTGAGACACCTCAACCTGCCAAGGAAAGGAAACGCCAGTAGGAAAGGGAACCACAAAGAATCCAGGAATGGACAAAACCAGCACCAGTGGGGAGTAGCATCATGGGATGTGATCACACAGATGTAAATCAGTAAGCAGAAACTTAATTATTTTTGTTCATGTGGTCATGGTCCATGAGAACTCATTATCTGTGTGGTAAGTTATGCCAGTGCCACAAATACTGCAGATTCAGCTAGTGCATATGTTGATAGAGTGAATACTTAAATATATCTAAAAAATCCAGGTTCAGACTCTATGGTGGTATAGAAGAACAAACCAACAGTAAAATACGGGCCAGAGCCTGTAAAAAGTTCTGAAACTCAAGTAGCTGAGCCAGGCATCAAAGAGAACCGAAAGATCAGAGATCTAAACCTTTAGCACTGGCAGACAAGCCCTTTTTCTGACCACCACTGTGAGG